GTACTAAGTAACGTAAACTAAACTAAATTAAATTAAACTAACTAACTAACCAACGAACGACGACAACCAAACCAAACAACTATAGTATATAGTATATATATATATATATATATATATATATATATATATATATAGTAAATCAATATTCTTTACTTACCATGATCTCCCAAAAACACTACCAAAGTGTTGCTTGCAAATCCTGTTTCTTCTAATGTTCCCAACAACTGACCAACTAAATCATCCATGTATGAAATAGATGCAAAGTATCCCTGTCTAATTTCTCTCTGTATTACATAAAAATGGAAGATACTTATAATTCTAGCATTTGATGTTTAAAATATTTCAATTTATTCAACTGATATAAACTTGTCTAAACTAGTATGATGTTGTTTATTTTAGTGCATTGTACTTATAAGCTTTTGAGAAGTTAATTTTGATCTTCAAATTTTGAATTAAATACTTTCTTAGAGAATAATAGTTCTCAACTGTCAATAATGAACAATGTCATAAAACCCTTCATTCAGTTTTAAAATGTAATTTTTTCAAAGTTTCCAGAAACATTTTTGTTTAACATGAACTTATCTCCTAAAATTTAAATTAACAAATTAAAATTATATCATTTTTTCATTCTCAACTGTTCTTCTGTATTACTTTTGTTTGTTTGTAATTAAGCACAAAACTACACAATGGGCTACCTTAAATAGCAAATATTGTTGTCTGGAATACAGGTTTTTAAACATTTCTTGTTCATCTGTTTAATGCACAACTTAAACCTTAATATCAAGACAACTAATTAATTTTGAGAAAAAAATTGGATATTTTCTAACCCTGAATATGTACTGTAAATCTAATCTTATTCCTGTGCAGTTATGTTGTCTTGTTAAAACAAAGTAATCTGCTCATTGTTGTTTTCAACATGTTCAAACAAGGATAAACATAACTAACAGTTGTAGGTCTATACTCATTGTGATGAATGCCTCTTTGCAGATTTTTAGTTTTATTGTACTTTTATGCTGATTAAATTTATTCAAATTGATAACCTCAACCCTTGAATAGCGAGTCAAATAAGTAACAAAAAACTCCTTCTCCACAAATTGTTGAATCTATAATACTAAGCTCACTTAATGTTACTTTTCCAAATAATATTAACATTCATGGAATAAAAATACATGGCCTTAAATAAATATAATAAACCACAAACCACCCTTTAATATGTTGCTTTTTTAGTTAATTCATGCAATATAAATGTATAAGTCAACTCCATTTTAATTTCCAAAAAGTGATGGCATATGACAGAATCAAAAATTTAGGCAGTGGAAAAACCAAAACAAAATTACTACACCTTAAGTGTCTTCTTTAGAGTAGCATTTCCATTAACCAGCAAACACTGGTCAGAAACTGTTTCAAAAGATAGTTGACCAACAAAGAAACTGCCAGTCTATCCAACTGGCTGCAATACCTCTGTGAGAGGCAGCTTTACTAATCCATGCATATTAATTACAAACAATAAATTAACATTTGAACCTCTTGATTTGCTAAGATAGCAATAAATTTGGTATTGCAAATTCACTGAAAAATCTTAAGTAAAAATTCTTTATAAAAAAGCCTGATTTTCTATGTACATCAAAATTGTAACATTCAGCAAAAGCTTGCTAAATTACATGAAGACACATGGCAAATTCAGAATTATAGTAACATTACTATGTATAGTTTCACAGATAAGGGGTCAGTCAAAATGAAGTATGTTGCTTTATCACCATTTGAACCAAATTTACAATTTTCAGCTTTTTTTTTCCTCGCATTAAATGACATCATGTCAATAGATTAGCTACCATCATTGAAGTATACATCACATTTCCATATATGCATCCTGTTTAAAACATTGACTTTGTATGGTTTGGCCTAAATTACTTCACTGTTGGATAATGAAGAGAGCATCAGCCTATTGCTCTCCTAAGAGGCAAACTATAAAAAGAAAGTTTACATTTGATGCAATCCATATATAATTACAAGCGAATAAATCTTCAGTTCTGTTTACAGTGAAATAAACCTTTAATTGTACCCTTACACAATATTTAGACAATTTGCTTATCATCAACTGTTACTTTAATGTAATCTTTATATGTGAAGCATAGTAACAAACCATCTTTTTTTGACATCTTGTCACATCAACAATACCCATGCTTTCTGTAAGTTTGGGTTACTTGGAAGTCTGTGGCTGCCATGATTTTTGTATTCAGGAACACAACAATAAGTACGAGGCACTGTTAATGGCTACAAGGTAATCTATATAACTATTAGGACTGGAGGATACAATAGTATATGAAATGTAAAAATAACACTAATCATCCAAATTCAACACAGCAGCAAAAAGGTAGCCTCTGCTTGAGTTTCAAGAACCCTATGTCAGTGTGATACAGCTCTAATAGGAAGTGCAGACACTGAGTGCCTCATTCCAGAGCAAGTACTTGTCAACATGCCTTACATATGGCTAAGATGCCTGCAGAAGTGTGAAAACATTTTCTGTAATGACAATTTTTACGAGTTCAGTAAATTACTTATTTAGGACTTTTTTTTTTCTATCAAAACACAGACCTCATAACTATAAATATGCCAATTCAAAGGTAAAACAACTGACAGTATTGTAACTTTCATTATCAATGGCTCCGAGTAGTAATTACATTAGAAAAAATACAAACTGTTTTTTTTTTTTTACTATTACAAAATATTTTGGCAGTCCCAAATTAGAATAAAATACATGAAATGTTTATGAGATAAACTATAAAACTAATTTTTCTTCCTACGTAACAGTGACATAAATCTTGCATAATTGTACACTTAGAAGCTTGTAGATGTGTTTTAATCATTAATATTCTAACATTTTCAGAACGAAGTAGATTTTTGTATTTATACTTCTAGCATAATGAATATGGAATAAAGTATTTTAAAAGCATGGTTGGTTTGCAAGTTGTTAAGGATACGTAAAAATAAGTCTCAACCATCAAAGACCACATTTTAGAGTTATTCGTAAACACTATGGATTGATCAATTAGGAAAAAATGCAATCAACTAAAAATAACTTATTTGAAATGACACTACATGTATTTGCTAATTTATTGTATTGAGAGTTAATTGTTCAATAATATTTTCACCGTAGCTGATGTTTAATCACATAAGTGGATTACACAAATAGGTATTGTAATCCAACAAAACTAATAATTATTTCAGGTAATGAAAAAAGGTCTCTTATTGAGAAATCTACACGTAAGAAAAAGCTTATTTAAAATTAACTATACACAAATTGTTTTTGTTGAAATATAATATTAACCCTAGAAGAAGAAAGTTGGTCAATTTTACCAACCTTGGAACAGTGAAACTATACACACTATTACTCTGAATTTACTAAATGTATCCTAATAAAGATTTGTCAAGCTTTTAGTAAATACCATAAGATTGCTGTACATTAACAAATGAAAGTGTTTAAAAAGGTATTTTTAATAAAGATTTGTCAGCAAATTCCTGAAACTTTTACTGAATCAGTCTGAGTGAAAGGTTATTTTTATGCTAAGAATAAAAACGTTTTTCATCTTACAGTTTCACATTTCATTCACAAAACTCCAAGAATGTCCTAAACACTAACACTAACTGTATACATAAATCAATATACAGTAAAACATGAAGTTGAAGAGTATGAAATGAATAATACTATTTTTTTCCTCTGCACTGACAGCACTATTCATCAGAAAGTTCCAAATTTTATATCTCAACAGTTTAAACTGATAACCTTTTCACATCTGTTATCTTGATTTGATGTTTATTGCTGTATTTTTTACCCACTTCAGCAGTAATTCTCAGGTCAAAAGCTATAAATCACAGTGGGAGTCCATTAGCTGTTTCCCATAGAGCTAACATAAACAGCTCACAAGTGTCATGTTTCACAGTGAACTCAAGCAATTGAGATTTTAGACATATTATATTACAGAAATTGTGTTAGGCTAAGGTGAAAGGTTTATAATTTTTACATTTTAATTATTTTTGTTAAAAGATATATAAAAAATAAATAAAAAATAAAGATTTGTAGTGCATACTCAAGCCATTTGCACTTGAATATAAATAAGACATTCTTCCCTAAGCCTCATTCAGTTTCACAAAATTGGGTGTCCAAAAAAAAAAAAACTCTAGAATAGAATGTCTCAACACTACTTTGAATGTAGAATAAGATTTACACACAGGAAGACCTGCTCTTTCTATTAGTTATAAACAATTCTATCAGCCATGTAACACTGATTAACAAACAATCTGGAAAGTCCTAGAAAGAATGGAGGTACTTCTTTAGTATGCCTGAAAAATAGTGACATATCAGCAAATTAAGAAGGTAGGACATTCAAATTTTAAATTCTTTCTTGCAATTAGGTATAATTTGTGCTTCTAATTTACTGAAACTGAAGCAACCTATTTTAGAAGTTAAAGATTCTGTAGTGGAGAAATTCAAACTCAAAATCATCATTTGGCACAGAAAAATGAAGATTTAGGTTTTTTTCAATATTTATTTTCCGAGTTAAGAAGTTAAAACTTAGATGTTATAAACATTTCAAGTACAAGCTATGTTTTCATACCAAGTTTATTGAAAAACATTGATAACAAAGTTTTCTAATCAAAATTTAAATTTAACACTGTAAAAGGTCATAAAATGCACTCTAAATTATTTATAAAAAAAGAGTTAAGTTAGGTTAATGTAAAATTGAAAAATTATATTTTGTTATACTTGAATATCTAACTTTTAAATAAATAAAACTTTTTTGAACTTTATTTAATATAACAAACACTTAAATCAATGCACATGTAAAATCACAAGGCTAGCTGAAATTGAACATAAGGAAATAAGATATTCCATTTTCCTTAATGCAATCTAATTGATATTTCCATCAAAAATGCTCTTAAATAAAGTACAGCTATGCTTCAAAGATACCTGAAATTTTTCAGGAAGTTCACCATATGGAAAAGAAACTTTATAATTTTTGACATCATCTCGTTTTCTCAAATCCATCCAAGGATTCCATGCAACAGGTGGCATGTCACTGGGGTATCGAGGGTCTGGTGCAAGAGACACTGATGACAGTGGATAAAGATCTAAATAAAAGAAACAAATATTCAAAAATTTCAAAGTATTTTGTATTTTGCAATTTATATAAATACAGTGACCCATTCATACTCTAGATTAGTGGTTCTCAAACTGTTTTGTTCATGGACCACCTGTATTTTTTTGTTTTTCTTACCTTGGCAGGCAACAATGATCTATCTATACATTGGGATGCCACTTCCTTACAATAATTATGCAACCTTTTCATGGACAAACTGCAAGGAACTCATGAACCATAAACTGACAACTGCTGCTCTATATCATGTAAATAGTATAGCAGATAAAAAATACAACTTCTAATTACCACTTTTGAGAAATAAAATTGTTTTTAATAAAAGGATTATCTCTAATACTAAAATATAAAGCATTAACAGAAATTTTTCATAGGTGAATTTAGTGGCAAAAGATGATTACAGTAAAAGATAGCTTCCTAATTCATATGCTTAACATTCACAATGGATAGAAATATTTCAAACATGAAAATACTGGAAGAATAATTCAAATACCAAACTTTTTCAGATTGAAAAGTGCATGCATGTATTTATATAACTTTATTGTCTATATTTTCTCTAGCCTTAATATCTGGAATACATTGCTATACAAAATAATTACTAAAACAACCTGTGATGTATAAAAAACATAATTACAATAGTAGACATACTAAAACATGTTTCCTATATGAATCATTAATATGAATAATAAGAGTTATGTTATTCCATAATTTGTCTGTTTCTTCCCATTTTGCCAGATTGTTTTTGTGACAACTAAGAATATTTGCACAATCTTTTGATAATTCAAGTACCTGTTAATTATTTTGTATCCAGAAAAATAAACGAGGCTCATGAGACTTTATCACCAATCCATAAAAAGATTAGCATCATATACATGTAGTTTGATTTGTAAAGCTCAACTGACATTTTAGATGTTTATACACCATGCATATTTAAAGAAAACATAACAAATACAAAGAATATTAATGTATGTTACTAGGTGGTGTTACAAACAAGATATACAAGTGCAAGCAAACCAGTTTCTTTGTTTTTGTTCAATGAAATTTGTTATAAAAAACTAAAAAAAGGTCAGCAAATAAAACAAACTATTATTGATGTCCATAAATTATTTATGATCTTTGAAGTCAAACAGGATCACAGCACATATACTAGACCTGTTGAATATCAGGGATGATCATGATGTAAATATGTGCACCAGATGACGTTCATAAAAACTTATAGTAAGACTACGCATAATGCAATGTATAGCAGCAGTTAGTTTTCAATGGTGCGTGTTATGATTGCAGATTGGCTTACAGGCAATATGGTGGTTAGTGACCTAAAAAAATAAGGGAGGCACTATAAACATCACTGCAAAGGTGTAGTACCAATGGGGTTTTCCTAGTAAAACATCTTTGATGCTACACTGTGCATTGTATGAACTGCTGCATAAACAATATTTAACGCTTAATATTCCAGGGTAGGTGACTGGTCTAATATTGTTAAAAGATATAAATTTAGCCAGTCTCATTTTTGAAACCTGTAAAACATCGAGATTGAGACCTACAGCACTGATGAGGAGTACCTATACAAATAAAATTTTTCCTAAAATTACTCTCATTTTAACTCTGACAAAGAAATTTTTTCTCCGTGCATTTGCAGTGACATGATTATAAACAAATCTTTTGAATGAATCATCAGGCACACACACAGGCTATCTACTCTTAATATTTTACAGTGGATATCAACTGAAAAGCAAAATTCACAATGCTGTATCTATTTTTCATAATGTCCATTTCCTCAATACTTATAAAAGAAATTACAATTCCATATTCCCTTTTCAATATCACATCTTGTGCCTTTACAGACATGCGCACTGGTGTTTAATGACTTAATAACAAAACAAGAAATTTTTTAAGGACTTAATAACACAAGAAACTTTTTATCTTTTAGATATAGAATTAATCTTCAGTTGAACATTAACCCAACTGTGTAATCTATCCCACCCTAATTACAATTATGAATTTTATAAATATGATTATCAATATAACTATATTAATATAAAACCAAGACTGATTACTTACTATTATTACATATACAAGTGAGACATAAAAAGGTTCAGAAATAAAGCAGAAAACATGCTGTAGACCTAGCAAACTACAAAAGGCATTAAAAACGAAAATATAATGACAGTGAACTTACCTAGGTATTCTAGAGGAAATTTTAAAGGAATGTGAGGCTTATGGAAGCCAACAGCAAGGAAAAATGGTTTTACACAGTTCTCAGAGTCATATGTAGTTGCAAAATGCTTTAAAAAATCTCTAGCATATTGCATGCTCTGAATATCAGGTAAAGTACTCTCAGGCTGGCTGTCAACCTTCACAGGGCAAACGAGGTTCATGTGAAGCTTGCCATCAGGACTAGGACACACCTGAAGAAAATAAAGCATTGTTTAAGTTAGTTCTATCTGTCCATTCATTATGTGTGTGTGTGTGTTTGTATATTACAATGAAAATAATTGGAAAAGTAGCTGTGTTGTTCAAATTACTACAATTACACATAAAAATTATAACAAAATAGAACAACACCATAACTGACATACACCCCATAATAAAATATTTAGGTTTACCAAGAAGGTGGACTTGCACTACAACTCCCAGAAAGGCAGAAAATGTTTGGAGTAAAAATACTGATTAAAATAAGCATGTCCAGCTTATAGCCAATTTGAAAAGATTTAACAAAAAAAATCAACTAAACAACTTTCACCTGTTACTATCTTTATTTATTGACTTAATTATTGCATATAACTTAATCTTAATGCATAGCTTACATCTACATCTATGGTTAATTCAGGAGTCACATTCTCAAGAAAAATTATAAAAATAAATGTTTACACTTTGTTTATTTCAGTAAAACTATTAATCAAAAAAAAAAAAAATTACCTTTAAAAACGAGTTCCGAGGAAATGTACCAAGATAGAAATATTGCTACAGTGCAAACCACTGCTAAAATTGCACACATGGCAATTTGATAACATGCTAAAAGGTGCAGAATATCTAGGACAAAAAACTATATGTCCACATCACATACAACCTTTCAAGAAGTAGAGTTTGAAAAATGACATGAAAAAATTTGCCTATAATATCACAAAGTGAATCCTCAAAATTTCTATTTTGTTTCCCATGTTTGTTATATGGTAGTTCTAGTTAACCCTTTAGAAAAGTTGACACAACATTCACCTCATGTGTGAGAAGCCTTGGATTCAAATCCAAGTTGAGAAAATAACAAAACTGAAATCACTACACTTATACAATGTTTTGAATAATATATTCACCTTGGCCATTTTGTATTGCTGTGTTGAAGGATGATAAGGTTCTTGGGACCAACTGTATGGATAGTCATCAGTCATGTTTGAGGCTTTCCCTGGAAATGTTAAAACATCTTAAAATAATTACCTCCATAATAAATAGACATTATTGTACAGCTTTTTTTTACTCATTTTATATAATTATTACTGAAAGTTACTTCCAAGCAAAGATTAATCTCAAATTGATCAAAAATAGTTCTATGTAAAGTATGGAGGATTAGCAAGTATTAACAGGAGTGCTTCATACCTGGATGAAACACTTTTCCAACACTAACAGTGTAATATCCAGACTCTTTAAAATGTTGAGGTAAAGTTCTGAAGTTCCCAGCAAAAGTCCTCCAGAAAGTATGTTGATCATAGGTAAATGTAGTGTCAGGGCGACGAGAAGTAAGCAAGGATGTTCGACTTGGGCCACATACAGCTTGCTGTTGGACAGTAAGATTAAATATACAATTTAAATACATTTACATTTTCATAGTTAACATAGTTAAAATTTAATTGTTATTATACAGAAACCAGTGTACCCAAACCAGCAAAATGTTTACTATGTGTTGTAAAAATTATAAAAAATTGCAGCTTCATGAAAAAATTAGGGTTCAACTAACAAATACTTTCATGAAATAATGTGTAGAAACAAATAACTGGTGAAAGTAGTATAGAATATCAGATGTTCATGCTTACTGAAAAATTTGCTATTGCAATACCAAAGTTACTTTGAATTCCTTATCTGCATGAATTTTTATATATTGTAATATAGGTTCATAGCCAGTGAAAGACAAAGCCACTATTACATAAATATCAAATCTTCTGATCACTGAATACCTTAAATACACTCAAGACATTATCACATTTTTTTTTTACTTTAGAACATTCATTCATGTTTTGCTCCAATGTTTGCAGCAGGTTAAAGAACTTTCAGTTGAAGGCAATTTTGACTTACATGTTGCTCAGTTGCTCAAACCTCAACTTGCTTATATAATAGAACATACTTAATAAAAACTGGCTACAGCAGCAGAGCTTTCCCATTAGTTGCACCTTTAGTTATACACTTAATTATCCAGGTGTTTTCAACACTATTAATTTTTTTTATTTACTTACAAAAACCTATTCTTGAAAAATTTATATAGATATTGTATATTGTCTGAATATAGAAATCTCTTTAACAAACTTTCAAATTCAAAATTTCCAATGAAATAGATTTTTTATTTCAGTTATAAATTTTGTACTTCTTAATAGAAATTTCTTTAAAAATATAGTCCACGTTGCAACATTTATTCTTTGTACCTCAAGACACTAAAAGTTGTTCAAAACTACTAGACCAGGAGCATAGCCAACAATACAGTAGAATGGGGTGGGGATCTTTCCACAAAATATATGTAACTTTTTTTCTACACAAAGAATTTAAGTGATTTACATGAAAGTTTGTTTGTTTGTTTTTAATTATGCACAAAGCTACACAAGAGCTATCTGTGCTCTTCCCACCACGAGTATCGAAACCCGGTTTCTAGCATTGTAAGTCCGCAGACATACCGTTGTGCCACTGGGGGGCTACATGAAAGTGAAGTTTATTTACAAAAAAAAAATTCAAAAGAGAGTGAACCTTTTAGATTTTTTAGAATATTGGGGTGGTCATTCAATCCCCTCTCCCTTCTGCTGTGCCTATGTAAACCTCATACTAACAAGAAATTTATTTTGTTTGAGAATTTTTAAAATAGTCTCATTTTGTGGTAAATTCAACACTATTTTAACATCATTTATAGGATTCAGGGGTGAAATTCTCAAAACAAAAGTAGAGGTACTCAGCTGGGTGAAGTAGATTTGTTTTTGAAAAAGAAAAAAAAAATCTACATGTAAACATAAAAAATGACAAAGCAGCTCAAATAAGTCCCGGTACTAGTATCTCCTTAAAAAATAATTTCCAGTACTGAGCACAGGTAATTACCAGCAGAATTTACTGCTGATAGGATTACACTTACATAATACCACAAATTTAATATAGATCTCAGTTTCACCTTCATTTCTTTATCAACCTATTTTGGATTTTTAGAATGAGAAATATCAGTGGAAATACACCGAAATTTAAAAAAATACAAATTTAAACATCTATAATTAGGTTTTTGTAATTTCCACTACATAACATTTTTTTGTCATGAAACAATAAGAATTTACAAGGTTTGGTTTACTTAGTATATGTCTGGACTTAACTTATGTAACTAAGTATTGAAGTAAAACATCAGTCAATTTACATAAAATTACATATCATAAGTACAAAATAAAATATTACAATTATAGCTCTTCTATGCTTATTAAATACACTAAGTTGTTCCATAAAATAATATATATGCACACACACATATCTATGCTTCCATAATGTAGTTTGGTAATGCACACGTGAAACCTAAATACACACTGTTAAGTACACTTTATATGAAAGACATGTTTAATGAATATTTCAAGGTTGAGTCTTGTTGGCTATGCATACATTAGCATGGAAGAAACATTAGCATTAATCACCTACTTAGACTTTTCAAAATTGTTTTTAACAGAGTTGTAAGACTAGCAAAGAATTACTACTAATCAGTTTGAAAACTTTGAAATAAAGGTAAAAAGACTACTTGCAAGATCCACAAAAGTTCATGATTGTTCTGTTACTTTTTTTTTTTTTTTTTTAATGATTACTAAATAGCAAAGCGGCAGTTATAAAATATCAACAGTGGAGTTAAGATATAGAATGGTATACATTAAAATGTTTGTTTCAAATATCCATGCAAAGCTAAATAAAAGCTATCTATGCTATGTAAAAATGTGATATTCTAAAATATATTACTCAGTAAGTTGATGCCAAAGCAGCCATTAATATGTTATATTCGCAGCAAAAATTAAATCTTTGTGACCAAAATATTATAAGAAATATCTCAACAGTAAAACTTAAAAGCAAATTTCTAAATTCTGTTTAGATTCTAAATAGATTGTTTTAAAGTTGAATAAATTCTAGCATATTTAATCAATTTATAACATTTATAACTTAACATTTCCAGTATTCTGACATTGTTGTTATTAAGAACTAAGCACTTCTACTGGTGACTGACAACTGTCTACTCAGCTACTTAACTAAAATAAAATGATTTGAAAAACTTCCAAAGTAAATATTTAGAAACAAGAAACACTTTAGTGTTACAGATTTATTCACACTCCTAGAACAAGGCACATTGTTTTGAATGCTATATAATTTTTTCTAATTTTCAAAATTACATAAAAAATAATAAATTTCAGTTTTTAGAATTTAATTCAAAGACAATTTTTAAACACAGCAGGTATATTTATATAGTTACATTTGTAAGTAAGACTAGCAGTTGAACTCACAACAACTTAATAGCTTCTCTAAAAATATGAAAGCTGACCATCTCGTAGCCTTGTTGTATAAGTACTGTTACAAATCTAATATATTTATCTGGCATTAGAAATTGGGAACATCCTGTTTTTAATACATACTATCTAAAGAGCCTTACTTATACACATTATTATTTCTTCAAAATGGATTTATCTATACATATCCTTTGTATTTTCAATCAGCCTATAAATTATAAAACTTAACTCAACCCATTAGATTTTAAGGTTTGTAGCAAACTGTGTTATTTTTTCATGTCATGAAAAGTAAAAAAATTAACAGTTTTCTGGAAACAATATTTTTGTTATTTTGTAAATATTATGGGTGTTGCTAGGGGAGGCCATTGGATGCAAGTGAACCCACTTTTGAACTTCAACTGAATTTTGATTATCATGAAAAATTAAAATCTAAGGATGCAAAAATATTTGAACATGGCATTTATTTGATATTCATAACCTCTTTCACTTGCTAATGTGTTTCTTCAATCTGACATGAGTCTTGTTATGGAATATATACTGAAATCACGATTAGACTGGCCCATCAAGATACCAAGAATTTCTCAATAGGCTGATCCATAAGTGGGTTGATGTGTCCATCATATATTAATAAACATACTTGCCTATTATATAGATGAATCAAAAAGTATGGTCCATACACAACAGATGATGATATGTATAAGCATCAATAATTTTAGAAGACTTACAGGTGGAGACTGATATTCGACCCAGAACCACCCACAGATTCCTGGAGACCCAGGGGAAATTTCCATGTCAGTCTCCTTTATTACCCCCACCCAACATATTCAAATCTATAGGGCCTTATTTTATGTGAAACACAAGAAAAATTTGATTATTTATTTGATGGTTATAGTTAATAACAGAAGTGAGGAAACATTTAACAACTTGTGTGAATACACTTTATCATTTCATAAAAGCAATCCACAGTTACTAATATTAATTTTTTGTTACAATAAATAACAGGAAAACTGTTGGTTTGCTTATAAACATGGAATGGAAAACTAATAAAATAGGAAAGAAACACAGGAAAGGAAGGCAGAAAAAAGAGTTAGAAAAAAAATATTAGAAACAGAGGAAAACAAATGTATTTCACTTAATTATGTGTTATGCTCACAGGTGAGTGTTGAACAGAAAAGGCCCACAACTGTGTTAAGTAATATTGAATACATTTCTCCCACTTTGGAATCAGTCATGGAAAGTAAAGAAACAAAACAGTAAAACAGTGAAAGACAATGAAAATGAAGAAAGAAGTGAAATATCATGAAGGCTTATTAGGAATGGAAAGAGAGTTAATATAATATTAGCAATTAGTAGAGCTCATCAGTGAAATAAAAATGAAAGATAAAGGAAACTGATGAAGAAAATGATGATCAGTGGCTGACTTGGTGTACCCTAATTTAAGTGTCTTTTTAAAATAATATCCAATTCAGCAAGATGTACTGCCATTCAATGGAAACAAGTATCAGTAAAAAAACAGAAGTTATAATTTTCCTATACTGAAAATAGGTACTTACCTCTTCTCACAAAATTAGTTATTTTCGTTCAGTGCTACTCTCTATATGCAAACTTTTTCTTCACGCATGCCACAAGCCTTCTGTTCTCCCCTATTGGAATTCCAAGATTCCAACATGTCTCTCATGTAAATCATCATTCGTCACCTCCTCACCCATAGGAACATGATGCATGTGACTCCCTCTACTGAACTATCACTTCGAAGTTTGGCAGAAGTTGTCAGCACTAGATAAATGTGGGGAAGGTGAACAGGGGGAAGTACCTATCGGAAATATATTTTCAGTATAGGAAAATTATAACCTCCTATACAGTACTTAATCCTCTCACAAAATTAACTAGAATCCCACATTGATAAGGAGGAGGGTCTAGTGCAAGGGAATGACAAAAGTAACTCAAGAAAACGTCCGAAGGATACCCTTGGAAATGAGATTCATATTCGAAGAGGGGAAATGCACCACTTCTGAGCCAGGTATATTCTTTGCCCAACTGTGGAATGTGTAAGATATAAGGGCAAAAAATGAAAGGTGCACATCCAAGTGGGAGAGAATATGGCAGGAAAGTAATCCTAACCATAGAAATATACAGTAACTCAATCCCACAAAGAGAAAGGTGGAAAAACAAAGGGTGCGCCACAAGGTGTAGAGTGGCTAGGATGCGGCAGACTGTACTCAGTAAGTCAACTACTTCCAAAACCTGCCTGCGGGGTACTGACATCCTCGCAAGGGTAGGATGTGGATCATACCGTCTTCACCTCAAAGCCAAGAGACGCGGGATTGATAACCACTCCGATTCCTGGGTATGACACTAGAATTAGCTATAAGCTATCGATCTGGGAACTTGAAATCTGATATTGAAAGGATGTATATCACATGAAATCAACTCCACCAACTGTGAAAACAGGCCAGGACCATCGAAATGGCAATAACATCCCTGTAAGAAGAGAGTAAAAAGGGATAGCTAAGGACAGAACCGGAACAATCCAATGTACCACTGTTGTGACCCACAACACAGATGGAGGAAATCAAGGTAGGAAGACAGACAACCCAAAACCTGTGTAAGGACTTTTGTTGATCGGTTCACTCTAAATCCAAAACCTGCTTGAGAAGCACCCACATCCATGCGAGGGTAGGATGAGGGCTCCCAATAGAAGGCGTGAAATGCATTCTGACACCTCACTCCCTTGTCATTGGTTATCACAAATAGTAGGATATCACGTCATCTACACCTGCAGAACACCACTGCCCTACTCTGTAACTGAATGGTTATTGTGTGGAACTCATTCAGCAGGGTGCCTCCATGGTCAACCACCCCAGCAGTTTGTAAGTGGTAAGGACTCTCGTACTCTACAGGAAAAAAGAAGGGAAACGTGAGGTGTAGAGTCCAGAGGGGCTGCAACACCTGAGACAGTGCAATGGGTGATCACGAAACCCTATTTTGAAAAGCAAACCACATTGATTTATTCAATCTAAGCATGGCAGGGATGGGCAGCAATCCCCCCTCTGATTTACCCATGCCTTCGATGAGTAGTACAGTTCAGGATGGGCATATTATGATGCAATTATCATGAGAAACTTACACTCTAGTGATCTTGTGAAACTCCCCATCTCAAGGGTGAGCATTCATAGGAATGGAAAATGTATAAGAATCAACATGGCTTACAGTGCAGATTTTTATCAATATGTCTGTGAATGGTTATAGCCATCTAAGTGGAACCCATTCTGAGTACAGAAAAAATACCTGGTCAGACACCACTCGCCATAAAGCAGGATTCAAAGTGAAGCTAAAGCAGGGGCCCCTTAAAGAAAAGAAAGCATTAGTGAGGACTTACCTAATGTCAGAACCGTGCCTAAGTCTGTCGAATAGCCAAAGGCAGCAGGCGATACCCCAAGGAAGCAGAAACAGGGATGTGGTGTAGGTAGTGGAAGATGAACATGTATGGAGTCGTCCACATGCCCGATTGTAGAATCTCTTCCAATGGCCAACAAAGACGAGAGGCAATGGAGAAGGTAAGGTAATGGATTTGATGTGAGGAAACATGAAAGGGATCACACTGTGAAGGAGACAAGGAGAAATAGGCCAACTTGATCAAATGTGAAACCCAATTGATCAGGACAACCAGGAAATAATCACGGGAAGAGGAAGGTTGCCAAGGGATAAAAAAGGTGGGAATGAGGACCCCAGAAGGAATCTGTGCGAGCAATATAACAATGGAGGGCACAGACAGGACAGAGGAGTCTATCCGGATCAAGACAAAGGTAGAGATGATATATAGAGGATAAGCAGATAGGGGAAAAGAAGGACTTACCTTATCGAACCACAAAGGTCTTGGGAAGGAAAGCATGATCTGAATAAAGGATAAGGTAGGAGTGGTACAAGGTCCTGGTAATGCTGAGGCCAAAAATATATGACCTACAATGACTGCAGGCCAGGAGTAGGAGGAAATATGCCTGAAAGAGAGGTGAAAAAGGGAATACATACACAGAGGTTTGAACGGAGGTAAGGTGAGGGCATGAAGAACTGTGTTAATGTCCCAGTCCAAAAGCAAGTGACACCTCGGCACTGATGGAGCCAGAAGAAACAGATCAACATGGAAAGACCAGAGAAAGCAAATACCCTGCAGAAGCAGGAAAAACACAATGTATGGGATAATACCATCCAAAACCCCAAAATCAAAGAGATTGAAGAACCCTCACAAAAAGCCATGCGAGAAACTCGGAAATCCAGGCAATTATTAGGGGAGAAGCCCAAAAACCCAGAGTCACTGCCCAGGAGCAATAAACGCTCCACTTGCATTGATAGACGGCCAAAGAAGAAGAGCATATGGAACATGCTAAATGTGAACCTACTCAGTGAGAGAAACTGGAACTCCTTGCCTGATAAAAGCCAGGTGTGAAGATGAAGGAAGAGGGGGGGGGACCACCTGCAGTTGAAGAAATCAGAAGAACCATGCATGGAATGGCATGGATGAGGGAGACCATCCAATAAAGTAAACAGATGGGAGGATAAAATTAAAGGAACAGATGAGACCAATGCTAGATGAAGACATCGACAGCCAAGGCTTGAGGATAGAGGACCAAAACCAAAGTAATTTGAGATTGAGAGATGTGGCAAAGGTATCAATATGGGGCATACCCAGATTCAGGCAGAGCAACCAAAAAATGGCAGGATGCAGGGACCACTCCATGGGATAAAGTTCATCCAGTCAGGAAAGACAATCAGCTACGAGATGGAAAGCACACGATACATGACATGCCATCAAATAAATGTGATGTGTGTGAGCCCAATAAAGAAGATCCATAGTGTAAAAACATAGGGATCTGGACCTGGTGCCACCTTGGAAGAATTGTTGAAATGGATCATAACCAGCTGACGGCTAGCAAGAGAAAGAAATTGATCCAAAGCCCAACAAACAGCCAGAAGTTCAAGAACATTGATGTGAAGAGAATTCTCCTCCACAGATCAATGACCAAAACCTCCTGGTGATCTATCCAAGCCCCCAGCCCTAAAGATGTAAATCTGGCCGTGGAAGAGGAAGCATGACCCCGGTTCAACCACCAATGGAGATCATCTACAAGGGATATAGAAGTATCCAAGGAATCCCAGGTGAGGTTCCATTAATTTTGAAGGACCATTTAAGGAAACCGCATATGGGCCCTGCCCAGGGGTATGAGAGGGGTCATGGAGGACCACATCTCCAAAAGCAAAAGAACCTTTTGAGCTTTAAGTGAGGAAACAGACAGGGATTTCCGAACGGCCCGTTCCATAGAATGGAGCTGGAGAGAAGAAGGTTGGGCCCGACTGAGAGGGTGTTTAAGAAAACACCCAAATGGAGCAAGTATTGGATAGGACAAAAGAAAAACTTCTCCAATTTGACCAACCAGCCCACCAGGAGCTGATGAGTGTGACAGGCTGATTCCCATTCAGAATGAGCAAGAAGAAGCCAGTCATCCAAATAAATATGGAAGTGCAACCCCATAGCATGAACATGTTGAGCAAAGGAGGGGATCACGCAACAAAAAATGCTGGGGCTAGGCTGAAAGGTAAGTTGTGAAACTGATATACAACCCCCCAATGGACAAACTGAAGATATGGATGGGAAAGTTCCACCACAGGTACATGTAGTTAAGCATTGGAAATGTCCACCTTGGTCATCCAAACACCTGGAGAAAATGCCCACAGAAAAGAAAGGTAAAGCAAGGAGTGTGAACATACTAATTGAGATGAGATAAATCGATGAAAAGACATCATTCAGAGATGTGATATATGGAAGAAAAACAATACAGTTAAACTAATGATTGATATATCAGTAAGACAAATTACAGGTAATCCTAAAATAACAGAGACCCATGGTAAACCTAAGCAAATGGTACAGAACAAAGGATACAACTAAGCCTAATTTTAAACCTGAACTTGACTACGAGTATTGACTAATCTAATGAAACTTATGTTATGGAATGCAAATAACTACAGTTAATAATATTAACAATAAAAATATTGAAAATCCACAGCAGTATAACGCCTTATATTTCCAAAGTCGGCGGACTGTATTTCAAAATGTGTGGTCCCCAAACTCAAGTCAAGGCCTGACAAAGGTCAGCTCATTAGACAATTGATCTCCCAATGAAGTAAAGCGAATAATTTCCTAGTGTAGTATCGCCACCTGAAGCTTGTGTAAATGTGCTGATAGAACATAACCTCCAATGTGGTAATTTAGAATTAGGAATTCATAATTCAAAATGACAAACACAACTGTGTTGGCAGAAATGAATAAAAAGTTTTTGAAATGAAATAATAAGTTCCACAACTGGGTAGAAATATAAAATAATTCCACTTCGGAATAACTCAACAAGGTACAAATATCACTATTGCATAATAAATAGTAAACTTGTTGAGAGAAATTGATACAAAGATATGAAAAAGAAAAAATTTGAAGAGAGCACAAATTAAATGTTACAACACGAGTACTGTCAAACAAGAAGTGATAGTTCGGTAGAATCGAATAGAGGGAGTCACATGCCTCAGAAGGGAGTGTCCTACTCTTATTGGTGGAGGGTTGTTGCATGATGAGTTACATTCGAAATGCAGTTGAACCATGTTGAATGTAGGTTATGTGGGAGCTCAAGGCTTGTGGCATGTTAAAAAAATTGTGCATATAGAGGGCAGCACTGAACAAGACTAGCTATTTATGTGACTGGAGGTAACATACCATATCAGAAATTTATCTTTATACATTTGGGAATGTATGGCTGTTTTGAAGTCTTAGAATACATGTATAGTTAAACACTAAAGGAAAACCTCGGACCACAGTTCACATGAGCCTTACTATATACAAGTTAACTTAACTACAAAGTTCCAATATTCAACAAACCTGAGCAAACACCTGATTAAATTTTATTCCTCTTTTAGCCAGCTGGTCAATATTAGGTGTGATCATACTGCTATCTCCATAACATCCTAGTGTAGGCCTTAAGTCATCAACAATAATAAACAATATATTTTTTCCTCCACTGTGGCAGTTTCCTGTTAACAAAATTAAACAATGGTTAGAATGTATTTCTTAAGTATATTTCACTTAAACATTACATTACCTAAATACAAGATATGTTCAAAATTAATGGAAAGTTTAAAAAAAAATGAAGGTTCTTTGATGTATATGATATAATATCCTATGTTTATAAACAAGTTTTACAGTAAATTGAAAGTATCAATAATGCCTTTACATCCTAAAGAATATTATATAATAGTCAAATTAGAATTCTCCAATAATTCAAGAAACTTGATGGATTCTGTACATATGTTATTACTTCACTTAGCTTACATAGTAACTTCTAAAATTATCAGAAACTCTTTTAAGATTTTACAAAAACAGGTTCAAAAAATCATTTTAAGACACAAATACTAAACATTATAACCTGAGCTCTTTCAAAAGATGAACCTTTCTTCATCAAGGGCAAATTATATGAATTTGAAAGAAAAACTATTTATACTATACATCTATGTAGTGCTTAGAAACAAAGATCGTTCTATGTAAGGTGAGAAAAGGTATGTAAAATACATTAAGGTAGATAAGTATTTCATATTCTACCAGAAGAGAGCCCAAATAAAAAAATATATTAACATGAAAGAGAAAAACTATTTATACTACACAACTATGCCTACTTTTAAAGTTTAACCTTATTTAAATAATTATATAAATAGATAATATTGTAATTTTCAAAATGTCTATACATGTACAGCAGCTGGAGTGATATAAACATACAGAAAAGCAATTTTACACAAATCTCAATTAAAATTTAGTTCACCATAATATATATACATGGATTTTGAAGACAAGTTTAACCATTTCAACAAGAGAAATAGTCATTCAGAAAAGAAAGCCTTTGTAAAGTAAGCTTTGCACAGAATTAATCTGATGTTCTCAGTTGAAAAATAAATTTACTTACTTCTGGTCTTATATGTATCTACTATAACTCGGTCTTCTTGAAATAGATATGCTAAGTACTATGCCTATTTAACTAACAGAATAAATGCAATAAATGTTTAACAAATTAAATATATGTACATTTGCAAAGAAACATAAAAACATTAAAATTATAATGATAAATTCCACTATTCTTGATTACATTGTACATAGAGTTAAATCACATAAAGTGCCATGTGAGATAAAAACTTGCATAACATCTGCTCTACTTGCAAGACCGAAAAACTGAAATTAATACACAAACAAAATTTGCAATCCCTAACTTAAATATATTTTTCATTTGGACTTCATACTGGTAGAGTATAAAATACTCATTTATCTTAATGTATTTTACATATACTTTTCTCATTTTACTTAGAACTATCTCTGTTGCTAAATAGTACATCTATATCTTTGTACTATAATGTGTTTTAAATAGGCATTTACATCTTGTATAGCATATGTATCCTATTTGGATATTAAATATTGATTTTCCATGACTTTAATCAAGTTTCAAACATTCCTGAATCCCTCATATGTGTAAAAACAACAAAATAGTGGTTTTGGTGATATATATATAATGATTTTGGATTGAAATGATGTCATCAAGACATACACTACATCCTCTAAAAGAAAGAGAGAGAGGTGAAGAATCATCTTGGTCCACAGAAGCTGAATATGTACAGCAGGAGTTAATAGAGATAACACTTAATTGGCACAAATACCCAATTTACTGCCCAAACAAAAGGTTAAAAGAAAGTGTCCAGAAACTCTTTGTACACATCATTTGTTTGATCAGTTCAACCCTTTCACAAACAAGCATTTTGTATTCCAAGAAACTAAGGAAAACTGGGAACTTTTAGATATCACATATGTTATATTTGACTGACTTATTGTACATTTTATTGAAGAAAGGCTCTACAAACCATTTATCGATGGATTCAGTGTGAAAAAAACGTTATTAAAGTATGCCCACATGGCCCCTGGGAATAGAAGTATGCCTCTATGGTAAGCAGAGAGTTGAATATGGATAATCACAGCTAAGACATATAGAAGTCTGCAGAATGAAAAGGAGGGACATGAATCCTGGTAACCAGACACTCCATAACTTGCAGGCAAAGAGTAGAAGATTGGGTACAGCTGAAAGAGAAGTTCGAGACAATTCCCAGGGTACGAGACATTGGGTTGGTGTGAGTGTACAACAGGATTTGGAAAGCTTGATGAGCCACCCCAAACAAGCAGCCTCCTGAAAAAGAAAAGAGTGAAGAGAGAATTCCTGCTGGGAATGAGATAAGAGAAGCCCATCATCTATGTAAAAAGAGAATTGGAGAATCAGTCCATGAAGATGGCAAGCAAAGTATCTCATAACATGGTTGAATATGTATGGGGCTGATGTAATACTGAAATGAAGAGCTTGAAAGATGCAATTCCGGTGGATGAAGCATAGAAAATGTCTGGAAGATGGGAAATTTGGATGTAGAAGAATGCTTCAGAATTGTCAACCTCAGTTATCCACAGTCCATGTGAAAAGGACAATGGAAAGAAAAGAAATTTACCATCCAAAAGCATGGAACAACAATAATACAATTGAAAGAAGAAAGACTGATTACCAGATGCTAGTCCCTAGTCTTCTAACCACAAAGAGATGAGAGCAAAAACCCAGAAAAGGGTTATACACCCTCTTGATGGGGTATTTGTCCAAATATCTGATATCACTTTCTCAAGACATTGAAGATAGACAGTATCAGAGGGAGGAGGAAATGAAATGGGGAAAGAAAAGAGAGAAGGTAGAAAAGTGGAGAGACAGCCTGTAGGATATTACTTGCAAAACCCATTTATCGACAGAAAACTGTAACCAGAGGTTTTCCAACTGTGATGACAAATGGGCCCCCACAAGTCCCAAATCAATTGGATGGTCACCATTCATGCAGTGAGGATGAAGTCACATGAATAAGGGAATGGGCAGAGGAGGAAGGTCTGGAAAATAGAAAGGAAAGACAAGGGATAAAGGGGTCCAGTTGAGAAAAAGGAGTAAAAGAGTGAAGTTGAGAAAGGCAAAAAACCAAAGAAGACAATGAGAATTGGTGACAGGCTACCTCAATGATTCAAAGAGTGTCAGGAACAGCATCAAAGATGTCTGGATGAAGAAATGGTGCATAACAAAGATCACAAAAAAAGGAAGTAGGTAGGTGCACCTGAGAGAGGGTATCTCTACTTAAGCCACTACACCAGAAGAACCAAGTAAGAAGGGTGTCATGATATAAAATACTATTATTGATTTCTTGTGTTGTATGATTATTGTTATATTATTTCATTTGTTTTTCTCATTTTGATGTTGTATTTTGCATTGATGACTTATTGTTGTTGAGAGTATAGAGTGGCACATGGGAACTGAAAATGAATCATATTAAAGTTGAAGAAGTTTAAACATGTCTGTGTTGTTCAGTGCCAAGGAAAAGAATGAAGTTACCATGAATCAAAGTACATAGGGAGTTTATTATGTATGGAGGTGTGTTGCCTTCCTATTGGTGGAGGTTTTTTTATTGCATGATGATGTTATCATGCACCAGGGTAATTCATATTAAATAACATGAAATTAGATGAGAGTTGCCTCAAGGCTAGTAAGATGCGAGTCTCTCAGGCACATGTGCAAGGAAAATAGCTAAACTGCATACAGAGGTGATTTATCATTTAGGAACTAAAAAATCCTGATGATGGTTTTGAGCTTGTATAGCAAGGGTAATAACATACATTACTCAGGAATAAATGCTTCTTTCCCTGCTTATGTGTACACACAAGACCATGGCAAAATTGTCACAATGATGGACAAAAGACCCCTAGACTGTATTCTTAAAACAAAAAATGGCAGAAGACTCAAATCTACAACTACAAGAAAAATAATGTTTTAATGACCAATAAAAAGATACAGTCACACAAAAAACAAAATGGCTCATTTAACAACTATACAACTCTGGAATGTACAAGTGCAACTGAAGGTGATGCTGAACACTTTAAACACCAACTTCACATCTTATCTTCAAATTATAAGCATTTTAATCCACTGTATAACACGTCCTAAAACAAGTGCCAAAAAAATGTCATTTTGTCTTAAGTTATAATTTCAAAATTTTATGCCAATCTAACAAGTCATTCTGGAGGTTCATTTTTACAAAATAAGATTGATGTACGAGCTTCTTGTATATTACATAAGCAATTTTTGGCAGGAAACAATGCAACATTGTAAAACTTTAAATTTTCTGAACTGAAAATATGATGTCGTAAAAAGAATAAAATATATAAAACTTTATTTTTTTGCAATTCTTCACATATAATGTAATCACAGTAATTCAAATTGTTTTTAAATTGTGGATTCATGTAATACTGTATGAATTTCTTTTCATGGAGAATATTCAAACCTACATGTAATGTGTATTATAAAACTGGGAGCAATTTCAACATACATACATGTTGCGTCATCGAGGTCACGTGACTGGTGTGGCGCCCTCTAGTTTCTAGAACTATCTTGTTCCTTCATGAATGCTCTAGTATTTACTAGATATGGTAGTCTGGTATATATAAGAGTATACATGACGCAGTAATGTAATGTGTGTGTGAAGATAGTGAGTAATTGAACTGCAGTCAGAAGTATTATTGACGTTCGTTGATATAACGTTTGTTTTAGCGCGATTGTTGAAAATAAGTGTATCGTAAAGTTGTATTCGGAAAGAATAAACCAGTTTTATTAAGTAAAGAACTTGTGTCGCTAAAGTTTCCTCGGAACGAAGTTACGGAAAGTTAATTAACAAACGGAGACGTAACATACATTTATTCAAATACATTGACAGTTTACAACGAATAGTTGGAAATGTATTTTAAATATTATAATACGTACATTTTGAACATAAGTGCAGTCATTTTCAAGTACAAGCAAATGTTAAAAAAAAATTCCAACTACCCACTGTAAGCTGTCAACAAATTTGAATATTACTATTTGGTGGGAAAACTCATCCTTGTATTACATAAATACACTTCTTCAAATATATATATCAACAGTGGTGCAAATTTCTAAACCATTCTTAGTACCACTTGCTTCATTTGCACCTGAACTTTAAAAGCAATATGAAACCTAAATAATCCTTCAACTTTAATTTTTGGATCCTTGATAGGCTTTTGGTGAGATATGTATATGTACTATGTTTTACATATAGCTTTGAAGTGATTAACTTCTTGGTATTTAATGTTGGAAATTTTTTCATACGCAAATTTTTTCTTAACTAGCTCTTCTCCATGTTATGATGGCTTAATCTTGCTGTTGGGACACAGAGTACGATCAAAGTAGACATCTGTACAAGGCCAAGATTAGATCCAAAATAATGATATTTGTACAAGAAAAAGACAACCAAGAAAAATGATGACAACCACTGTTAAGTGCTACCAAGATTCTAGTGAGATATCCCATAATCCTCAGATTATACGAATTAAAAATCATTTGTACAAATATACAAGGTAAATAAAATCATTCCATTCAATGTGCACTAACTTGCACAAGTCTTTATATCACCCCTTGAAATAAAGATAACCATACTTCATGGGAGCATAACAAAAACAGGACTAAGTAAGAAAAAGTCTTATAAAACGATTATAATATATAACATTTGGGCGAGGTAGAGGATTATTGAAAGTATAAGCCTACCTCACGAGAATTTTATAACTATATGCAGAGCACCTGCTTAAAAATTTCAATAAAATTTACCTACACAAACTCAAATCAAGCCTAAACTATTATTTCCAAATTTTAAATTTGCCCTCTTGTTCTAGTATCTTCAGTGTTGTGCATCTGTTTGTTCGATAATTTCCGATAAAATTCTTTCCGAGGAACTTCAGCAATACAAGTCTTTTCTTGATTAACCAGTTTATTCTTCCTCGATACAAACTTTTAGTACACAGTAATTCCACAGTCAGTACATTTTTCGTCACTTTAAAGTTAACAACTTTTATAATACATGCTATAAATCACAGCGATTCACAATCTCGAAAACACACACTAGCTCGAAACAGAATTGTAAATTACCCGGATTACCATTCAATACAATCCTGCAGGCTTTCTCTGTCAGGCTTATATACTAAAAAAGAGGGCATAACGAACAAACTCGAGCTTCCCTGAAAATTCGAGAAACTCAGTCACATGACTTTCGCTGTTGTAACATCAGAATATATCAAAAAGAAAGCAATGGTCTTTCCCCTATCAATCTCACAAATAATCTTGTAAACTTTGGTAAAATCACTTCTCCTCCTTTTCTCAAAATAGAAAATTTGAGACCTTAACCTATTCCTGTACAATAAACCTTCTATCCAGGAAATCATCCTATTAACACTACCTCTGAACCCTTTCCAATAAGTCAATATTCTTTTTTAGATAAGGAGACCAAAACTGTGTACAGTATTTCAAGTGAGGTCCAACTAGTGAAATGTATAAACATTGTAATTAATGTCTATAAATACACATTAACATTCTATTAGTTTTAATACTAGCAACAGTGTGTTGCTTTGATGGTTCAAATGACTTGTTCACCACTATGCAAAGACCCATTTGTCAGTTACTCTATTCAGATGGTTTCCATCTATATTAAACAGTGATCCACGTTATGATAAACTAAATGCCTTGCACTTGCTATAATAAAAGGTCAAGTGCTAAATACTTGTCCAATTTACCAATTGATTCAATTTGAATTTCAAATCATTCTATAATACATCAACATCCTCAGTACAGCTATAAATATCCAAAAGTTTAATGTAATCAGCAAATTTTACTAATTTACTAATTGTGCCCCTACCAACATCATTAATATAAATAAAAGTAAAGGCATGAGCACTGACCTCTAAGGTATTTTACTGGCAACAAAGGTTTAGTTTGACTAGATAGACTATATTAATAACATCCATTTGCTCTCTCCCATCCCATCAACTTGCATTAATTAGTCTTCATAATTTTCTTAGTTAATCCAAACATTTTAACAAATGTTTTTTTTTAATCTAATTACCTTAAGTCCAAACCCTTTCCCTCATCTATATGACAAGTAACATCCTTGAAAAAAAAAAAACAGATTAGTAAGGCAAGATATCCCTTTGGCTATAATTTATAATATCATATTTCACTAAACAATTTTCTAAAGCTTCTTTTATCACAATAGAATTTTTCCCAATATAGAAGTAAGGTTAAGTAGCTTATTATTTTCAAAGCAACTCTTATCACCCTCCCTCTATAAAACTGGAGTCACATACACAAAAGCAACTCTCCACCTGTCCACACAATACTGAATTACTAAAAATGAAAGAGAGGCTCCCATATCTGAAATTTTATCTCCTTTAAAACCTTGTGAAAAAACATTGTCAGGCCTTTATGCTTTATAATTTCTCTGTCTTTCTATTTACAAACTAGGGATTAATATCTTTATGATTCAGGTCAATTCCCATACTTCCCATAGAATGCTCAGGGTCTGGAATATTGCAATCAATTAAAAAACTATTCAAAGATGTTGCTGAAGAGGGTTGGACCAGGCAGATGTAGAAAAGAGAAGCAAATATGATACAGTATAAAAATGCCTGATGAACTAACAAAATGGTTAGGAATTTCTTTGAATAACAAAATGAAATTGTTGAAGAACACCAGGTACAGAAAGAAAAAGTCATGATCATCGTGTATATAATACTGGAGAATAATTCTCTGTTATAAATCAGAAGTTCTATAACTCGTTGGGAAAACAGAGTTGTATCCTTCTGTTTCCCAATGTTTGGCTTAAGTTTATCATTTTCGTATTTTCATTTAATGACTTTATCTTTTAAAGATCTGAGAGATTTAGCTTTTACAGACATCTTTGGAGTTCAGGAAGGTTTAATCTTTCACCAGAATATAAGCCAATTTCATTATTACGATTAAGTTCTTATGGTTAAGTCACTTAAGTTGTTTTGTTATCCACTGCACTGTAAAGTGATTTACTCTTTTTGTTCATGTTTGTTAAACTATAATAAAGGAGTAAATTATTTACTTGTAAATCAACATTTATGAAGAATGTAAAACATAGTACACAAAACTACTTTTTTTATGTAAATTACTACTTTGATTTTAAAAGATATTGTTTCTGTCAACTACTAGATCTTTGTTTGTGAAATATCACAGCATTTCTACATTTAAATGGGAGCAATGAATTTAGATGCACTGTGAGAAATACATTTACATAATTTGCATTAATATAGGCTTAACTAAACTACACAAAACCTATTACTGCTAAAAAATAGATCTGATAACTATAATTAGCTGAAAAAACATGTGCAGCAAAAAGTTGGATTGAAACATGAAAACAATGAGTATAATGTACTACACATCTGATAAATTCATGTACATGTACCAAAACTGCAGTACTTAATATATTTATAGGTGGGTACGTTATACAGCTATCTTGAAATGATAACTCTTACACCTCAACATAATTCCATAATAAATACTTCTACTACAGTTTGACAGATCTAATTTTTGAGTTTTAAACACTAAATATATATATATAACCTGCAATACCTAATCTTCTCAGTTAAGAATGTTTAAATGCTGTGCACATGTATAATTACTCTTATTTGTTTCATTCTTCTGTCTAGTGATGCATACATGTATTATACAAAAGATATGCACAGACACTCAGTAATTGTTTGAGAATATCATTAGAGTATGGTGAGTCAAATCAACAAAATCTATGCTAAAAATTTCAAACAAACTAAACACATAATATTTAATGTAAAGTTATTAAAAAAATGGTTGACTTGCATATCTTTGACTACAGAAAAAAATAGTAATTACGTATTAAAAAATGTGAAGTATGTATTACTAAATCTTTATTTACATGTGTGAAATTACTGTAGAAGTTTAATCAAAATTGATACAAAAGTAATACTCACCTGCTGAATAAAATGGCCTAGTTGCAAATACACTAATAACAACACAAACTGTAGCCAAAACAACTGCCCATACAATAATACAAATTAAAGTATTCCGCTGCTTGAGAGCTCTGTGGTGTTTGCTAGATGAAAGTAAGGGTTGATGTACATTCTCAGGTGTAGAAGGTTTCTCGCTAGCCATCATTCAGAAAGACAGAGCCTAAAAGTTGAAAAACAGATCTACTGTTTCATGCATGTGAACATAGTGTATAGAAATTCGATGACGAGGAACCCACTTTGAGACTAATAATGGCTGGAGACGGCTTGAATGGGTAATGAAGAAAAACTTTAATACAAGTTTAACATAACAGCAAATGTACAACGTTTCCACAAGGTTTTGTCACCATCAGGTACAAGTAATTTACACTGACACAGATATATATATATATATATATATATACAGTATTGAACAAAGTATTCACATGACCGGAACTGTTGTGAAACTTAGAAGAGGTATCTAGGCACCCCGGGGTGTTGGTTTAGAGTAGGGATTGTTTTATTCAATTAAGATGGGTTCCTTGATTTTTCATTTGTTTATGTTTGGGTTCT